CCATATGGCCGTGGCAGGCTTCTTGCTAACTGTTCTTATATCTTAAGTTAATCCATTTCTATAAATCTATACCTTGCCACGTGGCTTGTGGCTTACCAGCATCTTCACATGCGGCTTGTCATGGCGGTGGCTGGCAGTGTCTCCCACTCAGCCTTCTACTTCCCAGAATTCTCCTCTCTCCTTGTCCCGCCTATACTTCCTGCCTGGCCACTGGCCAATCAGTGTTTTATTTATACAGAACGATATCCACAGCAGTCAGATATCAGGGTAATAACCTGAAAGATCAGAAAAGCAGAGGAGCAGCCACCAGTGACTTCTTACCTCTCCAGATCCTCTGACCGAAAGGGCCAAGATCCTGTCTCCACCCTGCCTTATCACTTCTTGTCTCTACCTCCCAAGTGCTGGGATTAAAGGCTTGAGCCACCACCGCCCAGCTTCTATGACTAACTAGTGGCTAGCTCCACACTCTGATCTCCAGGCGAGCTTTATTTGTCAGAACACAAACAAAATATCACACAACACCGACCCTTCCTTCTTTTCTGGCATGGGAGCCTAGACTTCACAGGCTCGAAACCAACTCTGCATCTTCAAGCAAAAGTAGTGAGCTGAGTGTAACCAACAGAAATCACATAAAGAGGGTTCTCTCTACTGTCACAGACCCATTTAATTTCCTTGAGATGCAAATTCTTTATTGGGAGTCTGAAGTAATAGCGTTGAGATTTTAAAGTCCAACTCAGGCAAATTGAGCAAGTCAGGAAACTTCAGTTAAAATGAATTGTAAAAAAAAAAAAATAGTGTATGTACAAAATATGAAGCTATATTCCATGTTACATATTTGGGGGGCAGGTTGCTCTTTCTTTTTATCTTTTTTTCCCCTTACCTTATCTCTTTCAAGGAAGAAGCACAACAGCTTCCACCTTCTGTTCTCCAGGAAGACCCAGATTTATAGGGTAGATTGAAAGTAGTTGAAACATTGTAAGCTCTTTGACTAACATAATAGAAAGTGTAGCCATGTTCTCAGTCATACCATACTTTCCCATGCTTCATTCTGTAGACATTTATCTGGGTATAGTAGTCACAACTTCCTGAATTCTAAAAGTCTTTCTTTTCCCTGTTCCTTGGAAGGATAAAGTGGTTGCTTTAAGATAAATATGTGGGTAAGGAGAATAAATTGGAACAACTTTTTAAGGGTATTAGACTCACTGAGGTCACTTCCACTACTTGTAATGAAGACAAATGTCTATAATTATAAGTAAATGCACTGCACATGTTTGTTTATTTTTCCAGTATCTTCTATCTGCAAATATCATGTCTGTGAGTCTCCTGTCTACTTTATTAAGAAAACATTATATCCAAACCACTACTGTACCCAGATTTTCCCTACTTGAAAAAGACATCTGTTGCAGCCAAGTTTATGGTGAGAATCTGGTTTTCATAGTTGCCACACAAATGTTTAATGTTGATGAATTCAATGGGGTCTGGGGTCTGTATGGACAGTACAGCAGGTGTCCCTGTTGTCAAGATGAACAGCAATTCATTTCTGACTCACATAAAGATAATTGTGTATCACAATGACACTATATTTTAAAGAAACTAGATGACAGTGGTGGGAAAATTGTAGACATTTATAAAGTTCGAGATGTTGACCTGGGTGTCATGATGTCAAGACAGCTGCAGATATTTGCTAACACCAAGATATATATGTAGAGACTGAAAGAATTACAAGACGAAGATAATGAAGGCTCTGATTGGACTTGCCCATCTTGCCATCTCTCTGATGGTAGTCAACATGTCTAGTTCTTAGAACATTATCATATTTTGGCTAATGTATAAAGCATAAAAAAATCACACACACAAAGATTTTATATATGACTTTAATAAATACATGGTACAGCATAGGTCTGTAATCCTATAGACCGAGGACACCAGAGTCAATTCACAGACAGCTTGGACAACTTAGTGTGACTTTGTCTCAAGATAAAAAGTTACAAAGAAGTCTGGGAATATTCAGTAGTAGAGAACTTGCCTGGCTTGCAGTCAGCTACAGGTTTAATTCTTGATACTGGAAAAAAAAAATGTGTGGTATGCTTGTTTTAAAGTGTGTGGTTGGAACCTGACCCTTGCATACAGTTTAAGTGTGTGCCATGTGAACCACCTTTCATAGGTGGCAGAGAAAATGGTGCACTTTATTTGTATGTGTTTAGAAACAACAGACACTGGTGACTAGAAATTAGAATCCAAGAAGAACCAGCAGAAAACAATCAAGACACCTTTTCAAGGTTTGTGATTTATTCAATCGTTCATTTACTCATTCAATAGCTATTCACCAAGTTGATATTATATGCTAAATCTTGTTCTGGACTGCAGAGATGCAACAGAAAAAAAAAGTGAAGTTTTGGAAGACTTTATTCTACTATGGGGTGAAAAGGTAGAGAGACTAAGCGGCTTATTTGCATATTGAAAAAATATTTCCTTAACAAAATAAAACAAGACAAGGGGATCCTTCTACATAGTTAAGAACCACTTGCCTCATTGGAACAGTTTACATGATGGTCAGGCTATTCTTAGGAGCAGATGCCTCCATGATATTAAATAGCCTGCTATGTGAGGAACTACATACATAGGATTCCAGGAAGAAAGAGCAATAGGTATCATATGCTGACAGCCCTACACAGTCAGAACAATCACAGTTACGGTCCATGGAAGCAGGATAACAGCAAATAAAGCTGGAAGGCTATTGAACAGAATCTCCCAAGGTAGGCGATGGATCATGAGCTGTACTTGAAATACAAGGAAGACTACTGGAGGATCTTAAGCAGTCACGTGATCAGATCTATATCCTTCTAGAAGATCATTAAGCTGTTGCTATTTAGAGTGTCTGGGAGGAGAAAACATAGAATCCAAAGAGAAGGCCTTGTGTTACCCAGGTGAGAGATGGTAGAGGGTTGGGTCAAGGCTATCACGGTAGAGAAGGGACAGAGTGTAGAAACCGGGCATGTAGTTTTTGAGGTAGGGAAAATATGACTTGCTAATTAACTAGATGAGGATGAAGGCAAGGAGGTAAAGCAAGGATGACTTCTACATTTTTGGATTGGATAACTGGGTTGAACAATCCAAAGAGGAACAGGTTTGGAGGGGGTGGATTTCCGCCGCTCAGCTTCTGAGATGCCTGTTAAACATGATAATAATAGTCTCTACCTTGTGGGGTTGTTGTGCAGAGAGAATAGGAAACACATGAAAAGAATTTAGGCCAGTATCCAGCAGGAACTAGTTGCTCAATAAATATTAACAACATTAGCTGTTGAAGTAAAGGTGGTTGTTCAAGAATTATTAACGGCTGTAATTCTTCAATTAAGGTGGACCAGCAACAGCTCATCAGAAATTAAGAATAAAGATACAAGTGTAAGAGGGTGTTACAAGGGAGTCACTGCTGCTCATACCATTTTCGGAATTTTTTTTTTTTTTATACTATGGACCGGGAATATAGAACACTTGTCTCCTTCAATCCCTGTGTTGAAACCCTAACTCTGGAAGTAATTGCATTCAGAGGTGTTGGCTTAGAAGGTAGTTAGATCACATGGATGAAGCATCATGCATGGATACAGTGGTCTTTATAAGTGTCTATTTACTCCTAGTGTGTGAGGGCAAAGCATCCCATATGATAGGACTTGACCTCTCATAAAACACCCAATCTGACTACATCTAACCTTGGACTCTCTGGTCCTCTCCAGTATTGTGGCAATTAGTTTCTGTTGTCTGTGAGTCATCCATTCTGTGATATGTTGCTAAAGTGGCCATACTAAGGTGAGCTTTCATAATCTCCAACAACAACAACAAATGAATTACCGTTAAAACAGAGCATGCCAGCTACAACTGTAAAGCACTCGGATGCCATGGCAATGGTAAATCGTTACAAAAATTTCTAAATTTCACTCTCGGTTTCTGTGTTTCTTTCTCATTACAGTCCAGTGTAGATCAGCTCCAAGGAGTGCATTTTCAGGGCATTGGCACACAAAGCCATGGGTGTACCTGAAGAAAAGAGACCCTGAGTTCTATTAATTGAAGGGGGTGAAGCAAGGGTACTTACTCAGTGGGCTGGAATACCAACAGTATTTGCATACAGGAGAACTCCAGCAGGGGGCCGTCATAGACATCTACAAGCAATCAGTTCTAATTAGGTGTAAGGAAAGAGCCTAATCATTCCTGCGGGGACTCATTCCTCTTCCCACAGATGTGGAATCTAACGAGAAAGACATCCGCTTTTCTCGCTCCCCCTCAGAAACACTTCAGCCTAATCACAGGAGGTACAATCTAGTGCTTGGAATGCATTAAGCATCCGAGGCTCCATCACCGAGCTGGGCTCTGCTGGGGAGCAGAAAGATTAGCAATGCCTGTCGCCGCCGTCAAGTAGTCCTAGAAGGATGCTTTAGGCCCCAGGTTTCCACACCTGGCTAAGAGTTCTTGACTCCTGCCTGGCATTAGGTTTCTCTCACTGAACCCCACCTCCAGTGGCCCAGAGGGTGCATATACCTAAGTCCAGAGAGCTCCTGGAAGAATTCTTGGGTGTTTCTGGGCAAGACATCAATAAAGTAAAAGACTCGAACTTATTTAACTTTACACTTTTGAGTCCCCCAGACAAGAAGGCTGAGGCCAACCCAAGCCTAAGGCGCCTTGCTTGCCTGAAAGACCCGCAAGCCTGCTCCCAGGGTGAACACTACTCGAGCCGTGGGTGAAAAAAGCGAATTAGGAGGGTCCTCCTCTTCCAGAGTGTGTCCTTTCCAGGAAGGCACCCCGAGCCTCCCCGTTGCTGTCGCCAGAGCTGCCTGGCACCGAATCACCGTGAGCTCGGTCCCCGGGCGGGCACGCCAGGCAGGGGACGCGACGGTGACTCACGCGGCCGCGCGCCCGCGGGAGGGGAGGACGGCTCACCTCCGGCCACGCGGGGCGAGGGGCTGCGCCGGTCGGCGAGACGCATGCGCTGCGAGCCGCTGCGCTCCCTCCCCGCCCACCCCAGCCTCCTCCCTCCCGGCTCTCTGCTGGCCTGTCTCCCTCTCTCCGTCGCCGGGTGCTGAAGTTGGGCGGATGGCAGCGAGCCGGCTCCTCTAGAGGACGCAGCAGCCCAGCCTCGCGCACCCTCGGACCGACCGCGGTGCGCTCACCCACACCCCAAGGCCACCCGGTAAGGCGCGACCTCTGAATGCCTGAGAGGATAAGAAATGACAGAAAAATGTCTGCTTTGCACTGATGGGTGGCTTTGATTTTTTTTTTTCTTTTCTCATTTTGCCTCCCCCCCCCATTCCCGCGGCGAGGGGGAGGTGCAGGAACTAGGGGGCGGAGGGGAGGGGGGGGGCGTCCGTCGCCAGTGCCCTGGCTGGGGAGACAGTGGGGTGCGCGGGTCTCGGCGGACAGCACCGCCCCGTGGCTCCGCGAAGTTGAATCCCGCGTGGCCCGCCGCAGGGCTCGGTCCACTTGCGTCCCCCGGGCTCCGCAGAGGGGCTGGACCGCTGTCCTGCCTGGGCTCGGTTTCGGGTGTCCGCGCTCCCGCTGGGAGAGAGCTCAACACCTCCGGGGACCGGGAGGAGAGAGGGCGCTGCGGTGGCTGGAGGGGGAGCGCGCAGGGCTTCGGGGTCCCCAGGCTTTTCGTGGCTGTTTGGTCTCAGCCGCGGACCACCTCGGATGGTCTCATTTCTCCCTTTATCTTTTGGTGCCTTTAGGGAAAATAACCGATTCAGGTGCGGATGATGGTTTTACAGATACCTTGAGCAGCTGCTGTGCGTGTGTGCGTGTGTGTGCGTGTGCGTGCGTGTGTGTGTGTGTGTGTGTGTGTGTGTGTGTGTGTGTGTGATGTGTGTGCGCGCAGAAGGTGAGAGTCTCTTTTGTTCCTCCCCCAGCCCTTAGTCTAGAGAAAGCGAGTTCTGGTGTGCGTGGCACCGAGTCGGTTTTAGGGCAATCTAGGGGGTGAGGACCAGGAACGCCCACCAGCCCCCAGCCGCTGCCCCGCTGGGTGCATCACAGACTTCCTTGCGGTGGGAGCTGGTTCTCCTGATTACAGATGGATCACAGCTTCTAGCTGCTTCCTCGCTAGCTAGTCTCCCTCCTCTTCCTCCTCCTCCTCCTCCTCCTCCTCCTCCTCCTCCTCCTCCTCCTACTCCTCCTCCTCCTCCTCCTCCTCCTCCTCCTCCTCTCTTTTCTCCCGCTGCCGCAGAGGCTGGGCGCAGACACTTTCCTGTTGTCTCCTCTTCTCCCTACCTCTGTGTCTCTGTGAAAAATGTCGGAGGACCTGAGGATGGCGGAAGGACAGAGCATCGGGTGGAGACCTGCTCCTGGTTAGCAGGAGGCAGCTTGCTGCGCCACTCACTCAGTCTGAGGGCTCCCAGAGACTGAGCAAGGGTCACCTGGTATAAAAGATACAGGTTCGAGACCAGCTGTGCTGCTGCTTCTTCCACTGAGAGCTGGGGATGCAGGCTCACTTGCAAGATTCTGGTTGCCCAGGAACCCTGCCCCTGGCTCCGAACATAGTGTTTCCAACACTCCCGGCTCCCTATTGATCCTTCAGTAAATTCATCCTTCTGTGTCTTGTCTGGTGAACTTTGCAAGCTTTTAGCTGTTCCTTTCCATCTCCTTAAACCGGGGTGGTGGGGGTGGGTGGGTGGGGGAGTTTAAAACGGGATTCTGTCCATCACGGGTTGGCTATCACAGATAAAGAGAAACCTTAGTTTGGTTCCCATCTAGGATAAACTGGTCCATCTGCATTTCTGGCTCTCAGGCACACTGGTTTTCAGGGTGGTGAACCTTTATGAAAACCGTTTAATTGGCAAATCGAGAAATAAATTTTTGCTCCCATAATGAAGACGATATTTTCCTCATAGGTTCTGAGCTACTAGACGCTGTATGTATTAAAGACTTCACAAACTGTGAAGTTCTTTAAATTCTTTGTATGCATTTCTGAAATCTGTTTTAGTAACAGTAGCAGTTATGCATGGGACATGCATTGCAACACTGATAACTAATCAAAGGATAATTCATACTCAAGTCACATGACTGAGAAGTTTGACCTTCTGTTAAGTTACTATTATGAAGCAGCTTCTTCTGTTAGCATGAACCAAAACTGTAGTTAGCCCACTAATGGCAGCATAGATTTATTTACTAATTTATAATCTTAAGGACTGTATTTAGGACCTGTGGATGAGGTTTATTTACAGTTTGGGGAGCAAAGAAAACAAATGTTTATTATTACAGAAAGAGAGATAATTTGTTAAATGAGATGCCTGTCCTTGGGAATAACACCTGAACCCAGATCCCCCGGTAGCCATTTTCCCTTTTGAAATTATCTCCAAAAGATAAAGAAAGCCACTCACTTTAACACAAGCAATGTATGGTGTTCGTTTTGCCCATTTCCCTTAATTTTGCCTGTGTTGCCTCAACGACTCCATGGGTTAGTCCCTACTTTGGGCTCTGTGCTCATTTTTAAGGCAAATAAAAAGCTTTCCCTCCTCAGTTTTGGAGGCTGTAGTGTCAATGGTCTAAATCCGTCATCATTCCTAAGGATTTCTTAATCTTTTTCATGAAAAATAAGTCTCACTAGCATACCCTGGTGTTAGACACTTCGAAAGCAAAAAGCCACATTCTTATTTGGCTTTATTAAACAGCTAAATAGAAATGATCTCTGTCCTAACTGATGAACATTCTGCTGACTCACAGACTGAAGGGTAAGGAAGAACTTAGGTGTGAATGTTCTGCTGGGAAGACAGGGGATCTTGCATTAGAAGTCCATTTGCTGAAATGCATGGGCTTTCCTGGAGACATAGACACTAGCAGTGAAGCATGGAGCTGAAAGGGATGGGAATCCAGACTACAGCATTTCTGCAGGGGATTTGGATACCAGGTTCTGTCTACAGAACAACGAAGATACTTCACTCTCCAGAAGAGAAAATGTGAGAATCAGTAAATTATCTTCTGATTACTAAAACAAATGCATCATTACCTCTAAGTAGACAGTGGGATGTTTGATGTGAGATTGATGGAGATATACTGTCCATCTTTCCTGTCTCCCCTCACTTCAATTTATCCTCTCTAAAGACATTTTAGTAACTTAAAAATAAATCCACTTAGATTATTATACTTGCTGCTGTGCCAGCACCTAGCACAGTAACTAAGAAGGGGAAGTATTAAATATTTCCAAAATGAGTTAACTTTGCAAAATTGCTGTGGCTCAGAAAAGTCTTCCGACCTGCCTAGCTGAAACTGTGGGCTCCAGGTTCAGTGAGAGACCTTGTTTCAAAAACCACGGTGGCATGAGGGGAGACGGCTTAAGTGATAAGAACGCTGACTTTGAAAACACGAGGACCTGAATTCAGATCCCTGTCATCCACATATAAGCAAGGCATGTTCTGAATGCCTATAACCTCAACACTGGGTTTCAGGAAGACAGACAGGAGGATCCCAGAACTTGTTATCAGTCAACCTGGCAGGAACTGCTAATGCCAGATTTAGTGAGAGACAGTCTCTCAAGGTGGAGAAAAGAAGTCTTCCTTTGTGTGTGTGCACACATGCGCATGCACACATTCATGTTCTTTACTAAGTACCCTCACTGAAATTATGCCCGTGGTCCCACATCTTGGAGGCAGCAAGCTTTAGAATTGTGAATACATTCTCCTGATATAACATTTATAGTATTGATTTGCTTCTGGTGATAAAACCACAATTGCTTATTTTAGATCTCCTGGAACACAGGAACTGATATGAAATGAGGACACATGGATATAATAAACACAAATTTTCAGTCAAGACATCTTTGGTTTATGTCCTGATTCCTCCATTTAGTGACTTTGTTATTCAACTGTTACTCAGTTTCCTCCTGTGCAGTGATCCTGGGCTAGCTTAAAGCACAGATAGAGTACACATACAGGAGATGTACTTGACCACCAATTCATCTATGCATAGGCAAGCCATCATTTGAATAATTGACTTGTGTTGAACAGCAATATTCTTGCTCTTTTAAAAAAAAAAATCCTCTTAAGCCAGGCGGTGGTGGTGCACGCTTTAAATCCCAGCACTCGGGAGGCAGAGCCAGGCGGATCTCTGTGAGTTTGAGGTCAGCCTGGGCTACCAAGCAAATTCCAGGGAAGGTGCAAAGCTACACAGAGAAACCCTGTCTCGAAAAAAAGAAAAAAGAAAAAACAAACAAACAAACAAAAATCCTCTTACCTTGTTACTGTTTCTGAATTTTAGTGTCATATAGTGACTGCAAAATAACTCACTTTAGGCATGGCTTAATTTATTGGACATTCTTTTTATTTGTGAGCTTTTATGTTCTTTCTAGTATTTTCCTATTTTAACTGATGTGTGCCTTTATTCTCTTATCTTTTATGCATACCTGTAATGTATCTGTTTCCCTTAGGTTTGATAGGTACACTATCTAATTCTTATCAGCATATGTTTCTTTTTTTTTTCAAAAACCCATTGCTAAGTTGGTAGATAAAATTAATATTTTTCAATTTTTCACATTTTACTAAGAAAGAAAATTACCTTGTGACGTGCTTGTGATCATTTTCTTTCTTCAAAGGTGACTTGCTTGTGTCACTTACCTGCTTGCATATATAACACTATTCAAACGTTGTTTTGTTCCTGGAGTGATAATAGTGATGTCTTTTAAAAAGGAAACACAAACAAGGAAAGGCCATGCTCAGTGGCAAAGAGTGTGTGTGGCAAATATTAGAGAAATCACCGTGGCTAACCCTGAAGGATTGGAGCCAGATCAGTTGGGAAGTCAGGAAAGCATAGCTCTAGGAGCTCATGCCCTGGTGTCCAGGCTTTCATTCCAGCCTGCCCAGTTCCTTTCAGAATCTGAGCACCCGGTCACTGAATTGTTTTCAACCATACACTTTAGTATGGATGGTTCAATATAAAGAGTTCCCTGGCTGTTGCAGATTATTTCTATCAGTTGCTGATGTTGTAAAGAGCACATCCCAGTTTCAATGGATTAAAAAGAAGATGGGCATGATAGAGATCTTATGAGGGGATTCAGTGAAATTTTCGTCAAAATAAAATAATTAAACTGAGTTATAAAATCATGTCAGGTTAGTATTATATCCTATCCTTAAATGTCAGCTGCATGTAAAATTTAAACATTTAAAGGCAAATGTCTAATTTATTGCACTAATGATTTTTATGTCCAGA